CCTTTGCGATGCCCACAAATAAGGTTCTGGGCCTGTCCACCATCCTAGCAGTGGCTGCCTCTTTCTTCCAAGGGCACCATCTCACTGACCCCACCACCGTGTGAAGCCAAAAATGGCCTCTTAGTTCACATGAATGGCTAGGCATGCTGCAACACACCCAATATAATGCCAAGAGTGGGTGAGGAGAGAATGGGATGCTATCAGCAGTTCCAGTTTATCTGAACTGCTGATAAGATGTCGTTTGAGTGATTTCTAGGCTACCCCAACTGAAAAGCAGCCCCATGAATGGGGCACAGGTGGACTCCTTTCTTTGCAATTTCACCACAATCATCCTGTTTCACACTACATTTGTTGTTGTTGTTGTTGTTGTTGATTTGTCCCAGACCTCTAGTTTGGTAATCCAGTGTTGAGTTAAAAGCAGAAGAATCGTGCGTATATACTTTTTTTGGAAAGTTTTATTTTCCTGTAAACTTTGCTATAAAGTGAGCATCTGTTAAAATTACAAAATGAGGTTGTTCAAAGGAAGGAAGAAAAAACACACCATTGCTTTTAAATGCAAGCATTATGCCTTATATTTTCATTTATGAAACACATTGTCTCATAAAAATACTGTCAAAATGCAGGGACGGACAAGTCTAGCACTTGGGTTGCTTTCCCTAAAAAAAGCAAACAACAACAATCCTGGGCCTGGTAGGTTTAATATTTAGATGGAAGATGATTTCAGCGTTGTTGTGTGATTTCTTTGTGGTTCCAAACAAGCACATTTGAAACAAAAAACCCCTTCCTTTTACCTACAGCATGATGGATGTTTAGAGTTTTTATTACATGAGGCAGACTAATATTAGAATGGTTTGTTCTTAGTTTTTGATTGTTATCAGAACATTTTGTAGTAATATATTAATTATCTTGTACACTGCTCCAAACTCTTGTTTGGGAGGAAGGAAGGATAGTATAGAAACTGAAGGACTGAATGAATATTGGAGCTGAATTCGCATGGCTAGAATAACTTCTTCTCTTGTAAACACTGGAACAATTCAAAAATGTCTGCAGTCAAGGATGACTGTTCGGTTCACTTCTCTACTGAGATTTTCACTGTCCTGAGGTCCATTATGGTAGATAAATAGATGCATTATGGTTAGTATTGGCCTCAAAGCTGCCCAAAATAATACCTCTCTGGGGCTCTAATCCTAAATAAACAAAGTAGGAAATAAGTTCCATTGATCACAATGGGACCAATTTCCAAGTGAAACTGCATATTGGAAACAAACATTGCACAACCAGTAAACTTGATTTAAATTCCCAAAGAGCAAAAGCACCAGAATTTTAGCCATCTTCAGCTAAAAACTCACAACTCAAACTTCCTCTAGCTGTCTCCCGACCCTCTGGCAACCACAGAGCCGTTAGATCACATTCTTGTTCTTTAGCTAAGACCATGATCACCTGATAGCCATAGCAATAAGCCCTTTCATACTCATAACCATACAATATGGACTGAGAAATTAAAGGCCTTTTAGGTCAAGACCAGCCCTTTGCCTGATCTGGAAAATAGGACAAAATCAGCACATATATTTTATTTATTTATTTATTTAAAAATATATACAGTGGTACCTCGGGTTACATACACTTCAGGTTATATACGCTTCAGGTTACAGACTCTGCTAACCCAGAAATAATACCTCAGGTTAAGAACTTTGCTTCAGGATGAGAACAGAAATCGTGCTCCGGAGGTGCGGCGCCAACAGGAGGCCCCATTAGCTAAAGTGGTGCTTCAGGTTAAGAAGTTTCAGGTTAAGAACGGACCTCCGGAACTAATTAAGTACTTAATCCGAGGTACCACTGTACAGCACTTGAATATATATATGGTTAACTTTTGTACATGGTTGTGGATTTTCTCATATATTCACAACCACGTACAAAAGTCAAAATACTAAAATAGATTAACACTACCTCAACTTCCTAAACATCTTGGGGGGCTTGTCTAAACAAGTAGGCACCGAAAAGAACTCTGTGAAGGTGCTGCTCGAGCTCAATAGGCAGGGAGTTCCAAAGTGTGGGTGCTGCCACACAAAACACATATGGAATGGGTATTATGTGGCACCTATAGTAGCACCAAGGGACGCGGGTGGCGCTGTGGGTAAAACCTCAGTGCCTAGGACTTGCTGATCGGAAGGTCGGCGGTTCGAATCCCCGCGGTGGGGTGAGCTCCCATCTTTTGGTCCCAGCTCCTGCCCACCTAGCAGTTCGAAAGCACTCCTAAGTGCAAGTAGATAAATAGGTACCGCTTTATAGCGGGAAGGTAAACGGCGTTTCCGTGTGCTGCGCTGGTGCTGGCTTGCCAGAGCAGCTTCGTCACGCTGGCCACGTGACCTGGAAGTGTCTTCGGACAGCGCTGGCCCCCGGCCTCCTAAGTGAGATGAGCGCACAACCCTAGAGTCGGACACAGCTGGCCCGTACGGGCAGGGGTACCTTTACCTTTACCTTCTATAGTAGCACCAATTCTGCTGATAAAGGGAAGATACTTCTTTTCACTGACCGAAACAATGAAAGGTTCCAAGTCTCCAGAAATGAATTTCTTCACCTGAATTAAGCATGTGTATTATGCACGCCTTGCATGTTTATTTTTTTGGGGGGGATGCATGCCATGTATTTTAATCAGTGTTTGTGTGTTGTGCTTACAGAGTTCAAGACACCTCAAGTATTACGGCCATTGGTATATAAGGGATACCTATGGCCTTTTGACAAAACATCAGCATCCTCAGTGGGGAGCAGTTATTAACTGCACTTTGCTTGGTTTTTTTAACCAAAATTTTGAGCATTGGTAGGTTGCTGTGGGTAGAGGCAATCTGTGGCAAATGCCACTGTCATTCATCAGTCTAGTACCCTGTTCAATTATGTTGTTGTTGTTTTTAAAAACTCTTATACCAAACAAACTCTATAGTTCACATTCTCCTATCTAATGTATATAGGCACCAGAAAAGAAATTTTCAGTACCCCCTTCCAATTGTGAGTATCTCATAAATTGAAATAAAGGATGTCATAGCACTATAGATAAGATTGCTTCCTGGAATCTGAACAAGATACATAGTCATTGTTTATCAAAGGCACTGGAATTCACAGACTTCTGTTTGTAGCTCTGGAGGATATGACTCCAAGCTTTTAAGCAAGTATGGCTTGTGGGCCTAAGGACAAGATTCTTGGATTCAAAGGTCAGGGTTGTTTTTAGAATTGCCCATACGAAGGCAGAATTGGTGACTAATTTTCCTACGCTACTAGGCAACTGTGGTTGGGTTTTTAAAAAAACTGCAGTAACGTTCATTCTAGAAGTTCATCAAAAGTGGTATAGTGCATTTTGCCATAAAGCCAGCATTATTGGGTTATAGAGGAAAGCATAAAAGAATATTTTCAGGGCAAATCTTTATCAAAAACCATGCACATTACATTTGTCAAAATCATCACAGTGTGTGACCTTTTGGAACAGCTCATATTTTATTTTATTTTTTTATTTCTGCCAGATGTAGAGTCTATTTAATGGAACACCAAGCAATGTTGAATATACTTTCACATCTTAGAAAAATACTATGTTCAAAGATAGCTAGACAATACACTTTCCAATACAAGATGAGAATTCCTCTCTGGATAGGTTGTCATTTTACTGGCTGAGTTGAATTTCACTATATGCTACCTTTACTTGTTTTTTCAATAAATAAAACCAAGGATTATGAGGAACGGTTAAAGGAGCTGGGTATGTTTAGCCATCTATGATAGCCATCTTCAAATATCTCAAGGGCTGTCATATGGAAGATGGAGCAAGCTTCTTTTCTCCTGCTCCGGAGGGTAGGACTCAAACAAATGGATTCATGTTACAAGAAAGGAGATTCCAACTAAACACCGGGGGGGGGGGGGGACTTTCTGAAAGTAAGAGCTGTTTGACAGTGGAATGGTCTCCCTCGGGAGGTTGTGGACTCTTCTTCCTTGGAGGTTTTCAAACAGAGGTTGGATGGCCATCTGTCATCGATGCTTTAGCTGAGATACCTGCATTGCAGGGAGTTGGAGTAGATGACTTTTGGGATCCCTTCCAACTCTGCAATTCTACACTATGATTTAAGCCATCTGAGTGATTTGCTTATCACCTTCTTGTTTTTGTGAGAACAATCCTATTCATTTATTTCTGAATAATTCTACTCAAATCGTCAACTGAAGGCATTCAGAGCAGTGCGGGAGTAGGTCACTTAGTGAAGCACGTACTATAAGCATCATGGCAACAGGCTAATGCCACAAGCCAGATGCTTCTCTTAGTTACAAATGTATAGCTGAAAGCAGAATATGACCCTGCGTGTCAGCTGAAAGCTGCTGTGAAAGGATTTTTTTATTTCACACAGTTGCTATTCCTGTTAATAATTTGGTTACTCGTAGCAGTTGAAACTGCACCATGTAGACTGACAGCCAAACGAAGGTCTGGTCGTCTTCCAGGTATGCTATAAAGCCTATTTCATTTTCTGGCTTTTAATGATAGATTGGACCCAGGAATATGAGAGTCCAGGACTTGCTCTGTGAAAAATAACTGTGGTATAAATTATTTAATATCCAAATGGACTCCTTTATATTTTGTGCTTTACATTCTGAAAAATGCTTACAGATTTTAAAAATGAAGAACAGAACAGGCTTATTACAGAACTATTGACTGGTTTTCCTTGGAACGGGTAACAAACACTGTACCAGTTGTACAGCTTTCTATAATTGTTTTCAAATTATTGTTTCAAATTATTTAGAAACAATAAAAATATTGGTCAAAAAATATTCCTGATCCATATAAATATAATGCTTTTTTAACCCCCTCCCCGCAAAAATCCAAGTCAGAAGAGCATTGAAAATATTTTATTTATTAACCACATTTCATGAAATTATTATGAAATGTGGAAAATTATTAACCACATTTCATAAAAACAGAAAATCTTAAAGCACTTTACCAAATATAAAAACATAAAGATGTTGAAGCAGTTCAGGCGCAGAAAGTGTTTTTTTATTTAAAAACTGATTTTTTTCAGTACACTTCACCACATTTTGTTACAGGGAAAACACCAGAAAATATTTTGCTTTTGCAAATGTCAAGACCAAAAGAAATGTATCTGAAAATGTTAATTGTTTATCTTCGTGTCAGCAGTTTTTAATCATCTCATCTCGGCATCCAGAAAACAGTTTTCCTAGCTACCATTTCAAATGTCACTCTGCTATAACTGGTATGGGAGTATTTAGTGGTAAAGGGCACCACACAGGCCACTTTTCAAAGTGGAATGATCATTGCTCAACTGCATATGTTAATTCATGTAAATATATGCAAACATCAAATGTTTTCATTCTCTGCAGTTAAGGGTGTGGTAGGAATAAAATAATAAATATGGGCACTTGGCTGGAAACCCAGTCAGATCAATTTAAAACCAATGAGATGACATTCTGAATTTTACATAAATCACTACTAGTGCTGCCAGCGCATCTTAATTTTGGCCAACGCTTACCAGGGCTTTGTACTAAATCTTGCTTTTAGTGCCAGCAGGATGGGTAACCTTCCAGAAGGACTGCATTTCCCGTTATCTCTGATCACGGGCCAAGCTAGCTGAAGCTGATGAGAGTTGGGAGTCCAACAACATCTGGAGAACCATGGGTAAGCCATCCTGCCATACAGAATGCTTTCCTCTAGACAACTTCTGAGTAAGCATGCATAGCCTTGTGACTCAAAACACCTATGAAGAAGTGTGGAATTTGATTTACAGAATGCAGTGGAGAGTTGAGCTGTTGTGAAATAAGAGGCATCTGTTCTTTGGGACAGATAAACAGCTGTGTACATAAAGCATTAGCCAGTGTCATCTAACAGATAAACTGTTTGCCTTCAGCATTGGTCATATTCAAATCTAGCTCAGCCATAGGTTCTCCAGAATCTGATATGTAAAGAAATTATGTTATTATCTCATTTAGTAGTCAGAACTGCTGAAAATCAGAACTTTGCTAGCCTCCCGCTATAACGCCACATCTAATTTCTGTTGATTATCATTACCCTTAGACCTTCCTATTTTATTAATGCCCCCTTCTGATATTTGAGGGCCAGCTATAATCTGCTCACTTAAGCGTCAGATTTGGGGGCTAGCCAACTATCTAGCACGCAGTTTTTGACTCAGGCTCCCCTAGGTGACCTTGGGCAAGATATTAGCTTTCAGATTTAGTTGTGTTTGCTGAATGGGACGTTGGCTTCCTGGACATATCAGGAGAGAGCTTCTGCTGTTGCATGGTTTGAGCTACTAAACGTATAGTAGCTTCAGGCTCCCTCGCTGACAGATGCTGGTGTTAGGAAGTTGGTGATCGGTATCTCTAAGTTAGTACCCCTATGGCTGTTTTTGGCTATTGGACCCTGGACGGTATGAATTTTTAGTGATCAGATTTATTAGCCTGCACTCTTCCTAGTTAAAATTAATGTACGGTGAAATTCACACCAGCACAAAAGGCAATTTCAGACACTTAATTAAGCCCTACTTAAGCCTTATTTAGATAACAGAGATGATGATACATTTCCTTTTGATCGACTCGCTTTTTCTAACATCTGAACTCAAGTGGTCTTCCTAAAAGGAAATGGTTACTCAAGGTGACTAAAGGCTTCACTAGCTGGGTCATGAGTCACACCCGGTCCAATCCATATCTAGAAGAACAAGGCAATAAGGCTGTCCAAATCCCAGTCGATGATGATGCACGATCAAGGCATCAGCGAGTCTTTGAGATTTGGAGGGAATCCAAGGAGAGCTGCTTTCTGCAAGCAAAGAGTTTGGGTTTCCCCCCTCCCCCTTGCAGAAATGATTATTGACTTTACCTGTAGTGCTGAGCTTTTCTTGTCTCCCAAAACTAGCACTGCCAAGATACCCTTGGAACTTAAGTTTCATTAAAAAAAATTAATTCCCTCAACCCATATTTTTTCTCCCGACATCATTTCCATTTTCCTTTCTGAACTCTTGCACTAGCAAATTCTACAGTAAATATTATTAGTATTAACTTGGTGGTAGGGCACAAGCTTGCATGTAGAAACTCTCAGATTCAAGATTACCTAAAAAAGGTTAACCTAACATCCACTTATTTGTTGGATGGTAGCAGGACAGTTTTTCCAACTCTTTCAGTCCAATTTTATTATATTTACTTTAATACATTACATTTATATATACCACTTTTTCTTTCAGGGAGGTCAACGTGTTGTACATGGTTCTCCCCTCATTTTATCCTCACCCACAACCCTGTGAGATAGGCTAGGATGAGAGACATTGACTGGTTGAACGGAGATTCAAGCCCTGATCTCCCAGGTCCTAGATCAATACTGTTAAGCCACACTAGTTTTATTGTTTTAGGCATTGGCCATACAAATTATCAGAAAGTTCTCATAAATTTACGTAACTATGGGCTAATTAACCTGTGGTAGGTTTAATTAATTTTATACATAGCTTCCAATAAAAGAAAAGTATAAGCCATTTACAACCAAGGGAAAAAAGGCAATGATAAAATCACATAAAATGTATTTAAAATAGATTTAACAGTACAGTATCACACCGCTCGTGCAGCTCAAGTGCCTGTGAAAATATAAAAGCACTTTGGCCTGGCACCAAAAAGATGACAAAGTTGGCAGCAGGAGGGCCTTCCTGGGAGACTATTCCATAAATCTTACAATTACAGGGGGAATGCATCATACTTTAAACGCATCGTTTAAATGCTTTAAACTATTTTTGGACTATTGAAACATGTTAACAATTTACAGCTCCATCCCATGTCATATAACCCATTGCGTTCAATGAGGCTTGTTGTTGTTTAGTCGTGTCCGACTCTTCGTGACCCCATGGACCAGAGCACGCCAGGCACTCCTGTCTTCCACTGCCTCCCGCAGTTTGGTCAAACTCATGCTGGTAGCTTTGAGAACACTGTCCAACCATCTCGTCCTCTGTCACCCCCTTCTCCTAGTGCCCTCAATCTTTCCCAGCATCAGGGTCTTTTCCAGGGAGTCTTCTCTTCTCATGATGTGGCCAAAGTATTGAAGCCTCAGCTTCAGGATCTGTCCTTCCAGTGTGCACTCAGGACTGATTTCCTTAAGGTTTGATCTACTTGCAGTCCATGGAACTCTCAAGAGTCTCCCCCAGCACCATAATTCAAATGCTAATTCAATGAGGCTTATTAGCAAGTAAATGAGAGTGTAGGATTGCAAGCTTAAAGAACATTGCACTGTGCAAGAAATTGGTTATATAGAAGCACCTTTCGGCAAATTAGGATGGCGAGTAGCCGTGATATCACTAACGCCGTGCTTTGCAGCACACCAAGCATCCTGCAGGCAAAAACAGGGTTGGGGGGATAATTGGTTTATAAAAGTGAGAGAATGGGCTGGATATTTGAGCTTGAGTGCAAAAGATCTGAGACAGTAACAACCCCTCATGGAGTGTAACTTCTTCAGCACTGAAGTCCACACGGGGATTTATTTATTCTTTAAAGTATTTATCACATTTGTATCCCGCCTTTCCTCCAAGGGGCTCAAGGAAGTGCATTTTGAGGTTGATTAGGTTGTGAGATAGCAATTTGCTCAGTATTCATACGGTTTTTGAGGCCCAGTTTAACATGTCTAACCATCTGTCCACTACTATACTACCTCAAGGGCCATAGGCACTTGGCCAGGGCACAGCCTGACTCCCTCCCTCGGCAATCTTCGCAGAGCTCTGGCCCAATGGTTGCCAGTGGCTTGAATTAATTAATTTTATAATGAATGATTTTAGAGTGTTGTTTGTGCTGTACTTTTGTACTGTTTTATTGTTGTTAGCCGCCCTGAGCCCGGCTTCGGCTGGGGAGGGCGGAATACAAAGAAAATTTATTATTATTATTATAGATAAATGCCAAATTTTAGTAAAAACCCCCAAAACTTTTATAGTTTTAATACAATACAATAAGTTAGCATCGTAGCCATCTACACAACTCATATTCAGAGTAAACTGTGGAGTGAATTATTATATTGATGCCTGGGTGTAGCAATATAATTTTTAAAATGTTGCAAAGTACCACCATGCTGGTTGTAGTTATATAATTTTAGACTCTGCTCTATCTTATGCCACACTCTTGCTTCCCCACCTTTAGACGGTAATATCAGTCACTTCACTTTCTTCACAAGGTGGCAAGCGTTTTAGGGAGCCCCTGCTCATTCTGCAAACGAGGCCTGGACACCTGCCCCCAAGTTCTGTCCTGCCATCACCAATGGCCATAGATTTGCTCTGGAGCAGTTCAGCTGCAAAGTAAATAAGATTGTGCAGCCAGCCCATTTCGGGTTTTTTTTTCCACAACCAAGAGGTAAGAGAAGCTTGCAATGATGGCGCTAATAATGGAGAAAAGGCTATCTGTTTTCCCTTATTACTTACTACAGTGTGTCATTGCAAAGCCAGCCCTGGCCTGAAAAGACCTGCACAGCCGTTTGCAGAGTTTCCAGATTCAATGTTTTTCAGCCCTCCGTGCAAGCACAATCCTAAACGACCTGCTCGATTCTGAACAGCTATCCGGAGCCTAGTCGCTTCTAGGACACTGTCTGGGGGCCAGCGCTTGCAACCTCTCCTCTCCCCGCCCCGTTTCCCCCCCCCCCTTTCTCTCCGGCAGGAGGCTTTGATGCATGGACACAAAGCAAGTTTGCTCAGTGACCTGTAGGGTGAGGGAAAAATCCTTGCCAGCTCTGCAAATGACCCAGCACTAATCCTCGAGGTTTCCTGTGCACTCAGCAACCTTCCTAATTTCCGTTATGCAGCCTGACATTTTTTGGGTACGCAGGCTGGAGCGCTGCCCAGCAGCAGCAGCAGAAACAGGCAAAGTTTTTATTTTAAAAAAGCAATTACATATACAGTATGTGCAATATTTAATTGCACATTTGGCGAGTAACGAAGCAGGTAGCAGAATCTCGAGGAGGGGCGCCCGCGGGTTGAAAAAAGGTCCGTCAACCCACGAAGCGCAGGGACCGAAAACTTCCTAACTGGCGCGCTGGTCCCATTCCAGGCTCCTGGGCGATGGCGGGAGAGGAGCAAAAACAAAAGGCGACACAGCCGCCTCCTCAGCTAAGCCGCTTTTCCCAGCAGGTGGCTTCGTCGCAAAACGCCTCCAGACAATGGGGGCAAGAGCAGCGTTCCCTGGCGTCGCCCGCCTTGGCTTGCCTCGGCTTTTTGTTTTGCACAGGCATTTCTCACGTTCGCCGGAGAGTCCTCGCACCCGGCTCATAATAAAAACGCGAGGCTTTCTCACTGTCGTGTCGGAACGTTACCTCGAGTCTCTCTCTCACTCTCGGTCTCCCTACCATCTCGCCTAAAATCCCCATTCTGTGTGTGTGCAGACCAGACACGCCCGGCCCGTGGTCCTGGCTGAGGGGTAAAGTGCCCACAACAAACCCTCGGCTTCCTCTGCGCACCTCTCTCTGGCTGAAGCAGCAGCAGCAGCAGCTCAACCTTTCGCTCGGGGGTAGCTGTGGGCGGTTGCCTGGCCCGGGCAAAGGGCTGAGCTGAGCTGGAGCCGGTTGCTTCCCATTGGCCGTGCGGCCGGCAGGGAGAGCCGGGGAGGAGGGGGGAAGAAGAGGAGGAGGAGGAGAGGAGGAGGAGGAGGAGGTGAAGCTGCCAGCAGCAGCAGCAGCAGCCAAGCGCAAGTGAAGGCATACACATACACACACACACACATACGCGAGCGCGCGCGCACACACACACATACAGGCGCACACAGGAACGCCGCGCGAGCGAGGCAGAGGCTGCTGTGGTATTGTTATCCTCGTGTGTGCAAGCGGAGGGGGTTGTTGCTGCTGTTGCTGCTGCCGCCGCCGCTACTGGCTGCTGGCCGGCGGGGAGACGAAGCGAGGCAAGAAAGTGAAGGAGGCGAAGGACTCGCGGCGAGCATGCAGCAGCGGCAGAGCCGGCGTCGGAGCGGCGCTGCCAGGGCGCACTTGGCGACGCGCTGAGGAGGAGGAGGCGGGAGGGAGGCTGCCTCAAGCCGGCCGGCGAGAAGGAAAAGCAGGCAGCCGCCGCCGCAGGAGCGAAGAAGACGGGCTATGTGCCCGGGGAAAGCCCGCGGGAACCGCTAACACCGCCAGCCCCCCCCCCCTCTCGGCAGCGCCCCTCACGAAGAGACTCCTTCGGCCGCTGCCTTTTGTGCGAGTCACCCATCGCCGACACCCCGGACGCGGCAGCCGGACCGGGAGCTCCGTCGCCCCTTCCTCCCAGGCGAGCGCCGCGGATCCTCCGCTGCCCCCTGCCGCCCTTCCCGCCTTGGCCCGCGCCGCCGCCGGGCCCCCATCCGCGGACTTTTCGCCCCGCCGTGCACGCCTCCCCCCGCCACCGCTTCGCCTCCATGTGCCGGATAGCGGGAGCGCCGCCGCGGATCCTGCCGCCGCTGCTGTTGATGGTGCTGGCGGCCCTGCAGCAGGTAAAGAGCCGAGCGAGGGGAAGGAAGGAAGACAGACAGACAGACAGAGGAGAGCCGCAGCAGCGGGGCTGGGGGCTCTTTGTTCCCGCTGAAGGGCGGTGGCGGGGCTGGCGAGAGGATGCCGCCGCCGGGGCCGCGGGCGAAGCAGCCCGGGCTCCCCGCGCTGCCCCGGAGGCTAAGCTGGGCCTGCTTGGAACAGGGTTGCGAAGCTGGGGCGGCAGCGGTGGGGCGGGGAGGGGGCTTGGGGGAAAGCGACCCCCTTGATCCCGGAAGGTGTTGGGGGACGAAGACGGGGTGTAGCGAAGGGGGACGGGAGAGGAGTTGCAGAGGGGAGGCGGGAGCTTCCTCGGGAACGCGAGTTAGGGACTCGTATTTCCCACGGCGGAAAGGAGCAGGTGCTCGCTTCGGCGTTAGTAAGAAGACTAATAGTGGAGAGATGCATCTGCCTGCGTAGGGAAGAAAGACCGGGGTGCAGAAGCGTTATGGCGGAAAGTTAGGACCCAGTGACCCCCCCCCACCCCTTGCACTGGCGTTGGATCTGATGGGTGGGGTCAAACAAAAGTCGGCCTGCGGGTCGAGAAGGATGAGACCGATGATTGTAAATAAAGGCACCGCGGGGCGTGCGGATGGGGAGTTGAAGTGGGGAGCGGGGATCCCTCCGACCTGGGGACGAGCAGAAGTGGGGCAGGGACTTGGCGCCATCTCTTCCTTGGGGAGGGAGCGTGGGAAAGGAGTGGATGCCACCCACCTCTTCCCTTGGGATGGGAGCAAGGGCTTCTTTGCTCCTTGCTGGCAAGGCGGAGATGCGCACGCTCCTTCTTGAAGAGCAGACTTCCCCGAGGATGGAAGTCACCCTGGATAAACAGAGTGGGGGCCGGTCTCTGTGTTGAGACACCTGCTTCGCAAATCGAAGGCTGGGGTGGGATTTATTTCCCATGGCAGGGGCCACCAGACCACCCTCTCTCCCTGTCGTCCTCTTCAACCCGCGCGCGCTCTTTCTACTTTGCCTTCCGGATGCCAGATTGCCAGCCCACTCGGGTCTCGCAGTTACACAACCACGAAGTGCAAACTCCATAGATCTCATTGAATTGATGAGTTACTTTTTTAAAAAAACCACGACACATCCCCCCTCCTTGTATGCAATCGGGAAGGTTAAAGGGAGCATATGTAACACACCACAGGGCCTGTTTGTGAATCGCGTGGGATTTTAATCTGTGTTTAGTAGTAATTGTGACCCCAGAATCAGGGCGCCGGTCGGCTATGTCGGATTAACCGGCACAGAGTCTTAAGGCAACGGTGTGCACTTCACTTTTGCCCCTGTTTAACGAATCCGGCGAGAGCTGCTACCTGAGCAGCCACCCTGGTCCGGGACCCCGGGGTTAGTGGAGCCAAGCGTGTCCGGAACGCCGCCCTCCGTGGCCTCGGGTCCGGTACAGAGGAGCGTGCGGAGCCGCTGCCTCGCCCCTCTGCTCGGCTCCCTAATCCCTTCCCGGGAAGAATTTAATCAGCCTCCGCCTCCGCCCGGCAGCCTCGCTCGCCTCCTCCCCCGCTGGCGTCCTGCTGTGTTTTTTTTTTACCCCTGCTGCAACAGCTAACGGGAATTTCCATTGAGGCGAACTCTTTCTCCTTGCTTAATAAAGCTTTGCCACCTCCCTCGCCCAACAGGGGGCGCTGCGGGAAGGCCACGCGAAGGCAAGTGGGAGGCATGTCCATGCACCCCAATAGTTGAGACTGAGGTTCTGGTCAATACTTGTAGGGATTGAAAGAGCCGCCATCCTTGGAGATCTGCCCAAAGTTGACAGGGTCTGTGCCACTGTGATGCTTGCTGGCAAGGGGTGAGTCGCCTTTCACCCAAGTCAGGAATTAATATTTCAGAGATCGGATTTGGTCCTTTGCTGAGTAAAGAGTGAGCTGACTTGGACAAGGGAAGGCTGTATGCTTTTATGAGGTTTGCAAGCCTTGGCGAAGGCTTAAGACTGGTTTGTTTACACTTTTGCAAAGTAGGGATCTGCCTGGAGAGCATTGCTGGTGTTTCTGCATTTGGTGGACACTGGTCACCTGGAACGCATAGGATGGGTATGGGGGTTAGGCTGTGTACCATTTTGTTGGGAGACAGATAGGAATCTGCCTTATACTGTCCACACTGACTGGCAGCAGTTCTGCAGGGTTTCAGACAGGACCTTGCTAGCCCTACCTAAAGTTGCTGGGGGTTGAACCTGAGAGTTTCTGCATGCAAATCAGATTCTCTACCAGCAAGCTGGATGTCTTGCCTGATAATTTGTGATTCTGCACCAGGAGTGGGCAGTAGTCCATCGATGCCGAAAGTGCTAAATTAGGGTGGGCCCAGGTCTCCAGAGTAAGGATTTGATTTGTCTGGGCAGGAATTGGTGGGTTAATTACTTGGATTTTCCTGGGGTGTTTTGTGCATCTGAAGATAGGCTTGTTCAGTGAATATCGACTGTGTAAGGAATGTATCTGGGATGTGGGACAGCTTGTATAGATAGATACCAGCATTAGGGCTGTCTCTCATGAAGCAGATACCACTTGACATATGCTGATGAAAATTCAATTAAGTGATTATCCTGCATTTTGGGGCTTATCCTGTTGGAATAGGGTGTGTGCTCTTTGCATGGCCCCCGGACTCCCCTGGTTTTGCTGCAACAGACTAACATGGCTACGCCTCTGGAAATAGTTTGTGAAAGGTTCTCTGGAGTAATGGATGAACTGTATTTGATACTGTATTTGATGTGCATTTGAAATGGAACTGCGTAGGGTTGAGTGGGGTTTTTTTGGGGGGGGGGTGAGGGGTGTCCTGGGATTTTCCTAAAGTGAGTTCCAATAAGGCAGGGGACAGAGGATGGATGCTGGCACTTCGGTCAGCGAAACTCGTCTTCTTCCTAGTGCAAAGGGCAAGCAGGAGTAAATCTCTGGGACAGATGGTGCAGCTCATTGTCTCTTAATGGCATTTGTGGCTGGAGCATATCGTCGAGAACGGGCAAGGGACTCTGGGGAAAGGGGTATTTGTGTAGCGGGCTGTGTGAGTGGGCTGGCTTTCAGCAGTGGGTGATATCCAGTTTAAATCCTGCAGGGGTTGAGTGATCTGGGTACAGGGAGGCAGCTGCAGTAGCTGCAGCAGCAGTCACTGTCCATGGTGCAGAGCTCAGATTACTCTCTGGCTGTGAACTGAATCCCTGCTTCTGAAACGTAGTAAACACAGACTTGGCATGTTGCAAAGCTCCCTTCCCTTGCCCTTTATTTCAAATTACTGCTTTTTTTTTTGCTTTCTCCTGTGCAGCCAATACTCTCTTTCTGTAGCTCTGATGGCTGCATCAGGCAGTTGAGGTGCTGAAACATTGATCCTAAACAGCTGGGGGGATTTTTCACTGGTTTAATAGGAGGTTAGTTTGCCCTGATGGGAAAGTGTCAATGTTGCACCTTCTGTGTCTTTCCTTCAAACTCTGCCTCCCTTTTGGGGAGGATTGTTTTAACTTTTTAGCTAGGTTTATTGTTTTCAGGGTCTGTTTATAGCCGGAGTCTGGGTTGCTTTTTTTACAAATTTTTAAGGTAGAGTCCACTCCCCCCTCCCCATGACACAATTTCTTTGTCAGGCTCATTCTCTCTTTTTAGGATGCCTCCAATATTTTTTTTATCTCCAGATGTTATTTGGTAAACTTTAAAACTTGAGTTCTCTGCTAAACTCTTATTTCACCGTGTGGTTTCCCCCCTATAAGTACTGTTTTTAAATTAAAGCGATCTATGAATTATGGACAGGAACTGTCTTTATTGCTTTTGTGTATCAGAGAGTTCCAGTGGCATGTCATGGTTGGAAAATCCAATTTCCTCCTTGTTTGGGTACACATTAAATCAGGTTAGGACTCTCTTTTTAACAGGCTGTAACAACACTGAAAGTTAGGTATGAAATCAGTTTTCTAAACCTGTGTCTGGAAAGTGGCCTTTGATTTTTAACTATTGCTTGGCTTTTTTTTTTTGCTTTCTCTTGCAAGTCAGAAATTATTTAAAACTTTTACATTGCGTACATTGCTAGTGCAAGAGAA